GAATTGAATTATTTTTATTAATTTCGTTATTATTATTATTATTGTTATTATTATCATCATTTACTTGCTTGTTTGTTTACTTTTATTCATTATTGTGTTTACCCAAGAAATTGCCTGTAATTTATTTTTGACTTATAATGTGTTTTACTAATGTTTGTATAATGTTACACGTAATTACTTTCATCTACACTGTGCTAAGTCTGTAATTGGCCTTGCGGCTGTTGACTTGGCACATAAATAATAAAGAATTGAATTGAATTGAATTATTATTGGAGGGGGTGGGTTTCCCCATGCACCGCGACTAATAGTCTATTGTACATCCCCATTTGATATTCTACCAGTCGCCATACCCTTCCGGTACTGGTGCTCCCTGTCAGCCCCGTTCAGCCAGCTAGGCTGGCAGTGGTACCCGATACTTCCCCATCTACTGGAGGCATTGGAAACTCCTTGGGCGGGAAACTTTGCCTAATTTTGCTCAGAGGTCTCCTAGAGACACGAGGATCTCTTACGTCCCGTAAATCTACGACACGGGACCCACGGCTTAAAGTCTCTCCCGGAGGACTTGTTCCTTGAATTTTCCACGACCTCCGCCGGGTTTGAACCCGCGTACCTTGAGTCATGAGGTGGGAACGTTATCCCTACACTACGGAGGCCGCTTCGCTGAACGTAAGGGATGTAAGCCTTGTGGTCTCGCTTATTCAGTTTTTGTTTCAAGGTGTTCTTGTTATTCTCGATGGGCTTCTACTCTCTAGCGATGTTCTAGTGCGTGATTCTGAAAACGGAGTTGATGTGTTGTTAGTTCGGAGGCCGGAAAAATGTAGTCGCAGCCTGTTCCTGGCCTATCTGCTAATGTACATGACGGTGCGTGCAGGTTTTTATATGTGTGGGTGGATTTCTAGTAGGCGGGATTCCCCGGGGAGCTGTCCGAACGGTGTGTAACCAGGTCCACGAGAAAAGGTAATTGACGAAGTTTCTATTTCGACAGAGAGCTTCATACTGATGAGTACAGAGCAGAGACGTGTGAGGAAACCTCTTAGCGTGGAAAGTTCGTGTGGCCAAATCAAAAATATATCATCCACATTTCCTTTCCGGTATTTCGGTCTAGTCAGAGCCGTACCGATGGCTTCTTCCTTGAAAGCTGTCACAAATATATATTGGATGGTAATTAAAAAATTCGCTTAGTGGGGGGTGGAGTCCAACTGGGTCCACTCGGCACGGCGGCCACTGACTGGCCTATTGTACCTGCCCCAGATGATTATGATAATGAAGAATTTGGTGGAATGAAGATTGGCAAGAGAAACCGAAGTACTCGGAGAAAGCCCGCCCCAGCGTCACTTTGTCCACCACAAATCCCACTTGACCAGACCGGGGACCGAACCCGGGCCGCCGCGGTAGGAAGCCAGCGACTACCTGCTTGAGCTATGGGGCGGCCTATTGGATGGTAGATGGGAGAACTCATGCAGCAACTCCGACACGTCTGTTAGAATTGTTCTTGGTACGTGAAGAATGTGGTGTTCGGCCATGTTCCGGTGATGTGATGAGGCCTTCAGAAGCCGTTTGAGACCAGGTGCTGGGATGGCCTCAGTCCCGACCCCGCCCTATATAGTACACACAATATTTACGAATGGCATAGTATACGGTGGACACATTAATACAATTACGGCTGGATAGACCGGAGTTCGATTCCTGGCAGAGACAAGAATTTTTTTGTTTTTCACAGTGTCCAGACCGACTCTGGAACCCAACCAGCCTTCTATTCCACGAATATAGGGGGTTATTTCACCGGGAGTAAAGCGGCCGCGGCGTCAAGCTGAATACAAACCTCCATCTGCAGCCAAAGTCATGAATGGTGGTGCTATACCTCCACGTTCCCACATATTTTCGTGGTGTGGTGGCTTAATTATGTAATTAAGCTTAGGGATAACTTCGCCTTACTTATTAATATACTAGCAGCGAACCCTCACCTAAAGGCTTTAATGTGTGTTCAGAAATTCATTCTGAAATGTATGCATTCCATTTGCTAGGCTTCAGGAGGCTCTATCTAACTATCCGTCTGTCTGTCGCACATTTCATGTCCTATAGCATTTGAGAGATTTTGATGAGATACTTTTAACAATATTTTTAATATTTAGAATAAAATCTAAAACCTCAGGTAAAATATTTCGCTTTCTTTTACAACACACATGGAAGGTAAGGGCCTAACTGGGACTTATTTTGTAAATTTTGTGACATATGATTACCACAAGATTCTAAATAACGTCTTAAACTCTAAAACTTAAGAAAAGAAAACATTTCGTATGATGTAATTCATTCCATATTCAATAATAATTTATTATAAAATTGCACTTAAGATTAAATAAAAGCATATTGATTACAAACTAACTAATTAGAATGTAAGACATCATACTTGTAATTTACTTTAATTTTCAGTGCTAAGGTCAATTATGGTGGAGCTATACTTCCGTTCCCCCGTAAATCTTCATGGCGTGGTGCTTAATTAATCAAGCAGAGGGGAAATTCTATCTTACCTTTACATACCGCATGTACTGTACTAGGCATACAAAACATATGGAATGTAAATCTTTTGTTTGTTTAAAAGCTTAACCACGCAAACTATTCAAAATTTTGAGATAACAATTTTCATCATCTTGAGTATATTATTTTAAGTCTCATTTTTATTCCTAGATTTATGGACATAAAAGCACATTGCTTATATTTTTTATTTCTATATCAAGGGAAAACTTGCAAGTTGGATATATATTATTCTATCATTTTGTGAAGACGACTATGTAAAATAAGAAATTATCGCGTATATTTTAACCCATACCTCCCAATCTATTCCCTTTGGTCCATAATCATAGAAATGTTATCTTTATCCCGTTAAATGTCGTTCACTTGGGACGTTACATTATGGATTTTAGGAATCCAAGACACCAGCCAGATTGTCAGTGAACTACATTTGTGAGCTCAAATTAAAGAAAAATAATAAATGTAAATAGAAAGATGCAGGAGATATACAGCACAGAAAAAAGGATTGAGAAATTGTTCAGATTGCTGTATTGTTATTTGTAAATTACATGCACACTGTAATTTCGTAGGCAACCCATTTATATATTCTGTAGCAGCACTGTAATTGTACCGTTGTTTTACGTTATGATCCGAAATCAGATTGACAATACCATACTTAAACTTTGTTAGATCTCTGGTTTCGTACTCACGTCCTTCCCTGACTTCTTTAAAGTACATCCGTCACAGTAAATTCGTACTTTCGGAACAAAGCAAATATTATTTAGAGAACCAAACACACGCATATGTACAATTCTTTTTACACTTAAAGGATTTAATGGTTTCATCAAAGAATTCAAAAGATAACACAGACACTCCCTGGCACAACCTTTCTCTTGCAACTCACCGTTACTTCTGCTCAGGTATATTCTCGCAACATCGTTCTCGAGATGGTTGTGTGAGTTTGAGGGGAAAGAAGGGATATACAAGAATTTGCCGAGAGCCAGCCTCATCCGTAGAGGGAACTCAAGCTAGACTGCAGGTAAAAGTTGCCAGTTTCGTGCTAGATGGATTTATGGGACACACTTGCAAGGCGGGAATCACTCAACAAAGGAGGTTTGCAGATTCTTCGAAAATACTCCATCAACCACAGAGGTAATAGCATAATCAATTTACCTGAAGAAAAGCGTTGTTATGTACCGGGAACTGGAAAGTCTAGAAAGCAAAGCGGTTGCGACATGTTCCAGTATAAATTTGCCTGGAAAGATGACAAATATTTTTCATGATATAGAATTTGTTGCCGAGATTCGAACCGCACGGCTCCAAAATATAATTAAGAAGCTTTACTCTTGTACTGACTGTTCGGTACCACCGATAGACCATGACACAGACTGTCCTAAGGTTTTCATGGTTTTCTTCGGTCCCTCTAAACAAATGCCAGACTGTTACCTTACATTAGGTCGCTACCGCTTCCTTCTACATTCTCTCCAATCCATTATTTGCAATCATCCCAATCATCGACGTCATAAAATCTAAGTTACTGGCAGCGTATAGAAAACTGTAAAAAGAGATACCCTTAGACTGTCCAGCATATGCCGAAAGGGCCATATTTAAGGTACATACTCACCCTGAAGACAAAATTTAATGAAGAATGCCATACTCTGGGATGTGGCGCCGTGTAGATATAGCATAAACCGATGTTTCGGAGGAACGTATCGCCTCCATCTTCAGGGTAGAAGAAAAGAGAAAGAAAAGTCCGCCAACGAAGAACCAGCGTAAGCAAGTGCGTGCACCCACATTTTTCTTTCTTTTTTCTTCTACCCTGAAGACGGAGGCGATTCGTTCCTCCTACGAGTAAACATCGGTTTATGCTATATCTATTGGGGCACTGAGTTTTTATGTTATTTTATGTAATGAATGTACACTGCTCATACACATCAAAGCTTCCTTGTATTTCGTTAAATACATGTCACACACAAACAAAAAATTAAAATAACTTATCGGTGTTTAAAGTCCTATATATCATATCTTGTACAGCATCTTGTACAATTATCGTTTTTATAACAACTATGAATTTCGATTTCCGCTCCAGGGAAAGTGGGAATTTTGTAGGACCGACACAGGACAGAGTCAAAATCACTGGGCGATATTTAGTGTAGACTTCTATTATCAAAATTTAATATAAATTGATTAGTAGTTTTGGAGATGAAACACACCAGCGGACACGCTCTCCCATTATGGGTTCAATTTAAGCATTTTGTGGAATGAATGCATAAAACATATGCATAAAAAGTTGATTATATCAGAAAGAATATAGCTATTGGAAAAGCGAAAATGTGCAATAGGTGAGACGCGGATGTGTCACGTTTTCCAAGGAGCCAGTCAAAAAGATTTTTTTTCGAAGGAAAGTAACAAGTCAATAGGAATTTACTTCATTAATCTGAGCAATAAAGTACAGCTTAATAATTAATTTCAACAATACCTTCGAAATTAAATCATGGATGTCGTGCTGGATGGTGGAACTTGTAGAACTATGTGCTAATCAAATTTGGTTTTGGAAATGTCACCAAAATAGACCATTGAAAAACTGTGATAACAGTGTGTAGATAATAGCAAAATAAATGTAAGAAAAATAAAACATAACGTTGGAAAGTGGATTGAATTGGCTAAGAGAACGTCCCAATGGTGCCCTTTTGTAATGAAGATTATGAAAATTCTGGTTTCAATAAAAGCCAATTATTTCTTTTTCACCGGGACAATTAAATCATCAGTAAAACCTCCAAGGAATATCCTACACCATGGAGTTGGTCTCATCCAATTCGACCACACAGAGCAGGGAAGTTGTTGAGATTAGGAAGAAGATGCTATCTATGGAGGGAAATTCACGCAAACATCGATATCCTGGCTGGAATTAGTATCCATGACCTACCGAACGTATCGGTCCAGAGGTTCATTTGTTGTTCCATGCGTGACATGGCACAGTGTAGGCTGGTAAGTTGTTACCGTAATTTCGGAGAAAAACTTTACCGTCAATATTCCTCCCAAACTCTGGTGAAGTTCTCAGTTTCTACTCCTTGGCTTCACGGTCTTCTGAGGACCTCGGCCTCCTTTACGACAGATGCCCATTCTTTTCTTATCATCCATCTGCAAGTTTTGTAAAATATACTCACACATATTTCACTACACTTCACAATGTCGTAACTCAGAAGACCACAACTTGGCATTTCACCACGTTGTAAACCAGAAGTCACAGAGAGGCAGAAGGATGTTCTTTGTGGGTTAATTTGCGACACGAACAGCAGCTGGACTATAGCGTCGAGCTATGCATTGGAGAGGATTAGGAAGGAAGCGGGCGTGGCCTGAACGAGATGATAATCCCGATATTTTGCTGGAAGGACGGAGAAAGACGAAGAAAAACCTCAATCGGAATAGCCGATTTATGACCGAGATTCGAACTGAATAACTCCCTAATACAAGGACAACTTAAGTTCAAAGAGAAGCTTAAGTGATACGAATGTGAGCACCAAAAATGTTGACCAAAATTCTGAGAATTAACATAGGTTGAAAAGCATATCGAATGCAAATAAGATCTGAAAGTTTGTGATGATGGTAAATTGTTACAATTAATATGTTGCTGGACATTATCCATCATCTTGTCTGTTCTAAAAAAAAACGTCTAGTTTCTATTAAAAAACACAACGTTTCGGGAACTGGAATCTGTCCCCGTCTTCATGTAAAACCTACTCAGTTGGGTCCAATAGACAGAGATAGCCCCTATCTCCGGACCTTTTTTTAGAACAGACAAGATGATGGATAATGTCCAGCAACATACTAGTTGTAATATCGAATGCAGTTTGCTTCCGTTGTCCATTTTACTGTGCGGTTAAAGCTGAAGCACAATGCTATTTAATATAATATGATTTCCGGAACACATTTTTAATCAGCTTCAGTTTCCGAAACGTTCTGTTCTTTAGTGTTCTTTAGAATACCGGGTGAAGGACAAAGTCCAGAAACCCAGCTATCCTGATCTTCATGCACCATCGTCAGAACCCTATAGAATCTATGTTGCTTAATAACTGCAACCGATAAGACTATGCACGTTACATGCACGAACCAAGCTGGCATATATACAAACAGCAGGAAAGAAAAGTATGCCATGTAATTTGGTTAAGTGCAATTTCTAGAAACAATAAATACGAGTATATCCGGTACGATTATGCTGTAAGAAGAGTATGATGTGAGAAACAATTCCATAATATTTGTATGCAAATATCCTTTAGTATTTTTTGGATTTCAGGTCTTTAAATTAGTTAATAAAGATGATTGGAGGGGTGGGGGAATCTAGCACTCATGATCCCTATTTTGGGAGGTCCTGGTTAGCATTCTTGATCCGGAGACTGAGTGTCCTGACAGATTTATTGTGGTGTACCTATGGCCACAAGCTGTTATATTGCCTATACAATAAACCATGACCGATTATTTCTACAGCAATTTTTGTTCATCGAATCATAACCACCCTTCCATTCTGCGCCATTTATTCTACAGAGTTGAAAATATGTTGTTAAATAAGCTAAGGAGCAACAGAATCGGAGATGCCAGTGTAAACTCAATGGCCGTGCTTCCCTGAAACCGCTCCCTTAAAAATCTTGCCAGTAAAATACATGTATTTCACCTGCAGTGCTGCGAGTTAAAGTTGACTCACGTAACTGTAATTTGCCTGAGATTTGCCCTTATTTTCATTACTTGCAGGAACCTACTCCCTAAATAAAATGTTTATCTCATTATAGGTCCTACGCTTTAATATTTGTGGGTTATTCCACGATGCTGTCAGCATCTGGACTAGATAATGTTGAAGATTAGTGAGGAGTGACGAATTGGAAAGGATCTGGAAGGAAGCGGTCGTGGCTAATCGAGGCACAGTTCCAGAATTTGCCTGGAGGGACTGGGGAAATCCACTAAAACTTCAATCAGGGTAGCTGGTGTCCTGGCTTTGATTCGAACCGAATACCTCCCGAATATAAATCTAGAGCGTTACTGCTACGGCAGTCCTCTGGATGTAGTTTTATTAAATGTTCTCTTCTGATTCTTATATATTACAAAGAGAAAAATCAGTCTTCCGAAGCCGAAAGAATGATCCATGATGGTCTTCCGCCAATGCAATTCTCATAATCTCTCATCTTTCTCGCACTTTCCCATACTTTGTCAACATGTTTTCCTCTGATATCGGCACCATCCAAGAACATTTTAATCGATGATGGAGAAAAGCAGATTCTGGTAGATGGACCACCTGAAAATAACCATTGAGAGAACATTTTATAAGGATCTAAAAACAAAACCATGTGCAGCTTATTAAGTATAAATTACTGTGCAGCTGTTTCCATCAGGTGGAAAGTTCTCAGTGGGGCTGATTTCATATAGCTTTCATCCAGTCGGAGAGCCGCAGCTTCTTCGTCACTTCCGTTCCGCTCCGTCCGTTTCCATGATGCTCCTATTACATGCTACGTCCTAGTTTCCACCATGTCCATAGATGATGCTTTTAGAAGAGAAATTTCTGCTGTAAGTAAATTTACGTCGTTGTATTAAATGTAGCAGTTATGTAATGTGGAATCTGATGACAGTTTGATTATGTACAGCGGCATAAAGGTGGTTTCTAACGTTTACCTTACCTAGACTAACAGAAGAAAGCAACCGCATGTCTCATCTAAAACAGTCCTCTGAATTTCGTACAGGATATTTTGCTAATACGCGAGTGTGCATTGTTGACGTATTGTTGAGGTGCCCTGATGGGAGGGTATCATCTTCCATTTAAGACAACGGAAAATTGAAATTTATGTGTCCTTTTCTAGAATAATTATCTGCAACACTTCAAAATATCACATTTGTTAAATTATGAATACTAGG